TTAAAATCCTTGTCCTATTAATTTCCATAAATGGCTAATAATGTGCATTTCAGCATTGTTTACAGAATTGTGATAGGTCTGCTGATTAGATCAGGTTTCGATTTAATCTATAATAAATTAAACCATGATTGCTCCCCCATCAGAACAACGACCTTGGTATATTAATTTTAATAAAGATAAGAAATTGCCAAGGTAAGTAATTTTCAGTGTTAATAATTTAATAAGGCAATAGACCTTGTAATTAAAAATAAGTTTAAGGAGGCTGCTAAGTGATTTTGATAATGATTTAAGGACCAATTATAGAAAAGATCTCATTCTCACCATCCTAATTAAATATTGGGAACAGCGCAAAGCGGAAGATCTGAAATTAACCATTTTTATTATATTGAGGGCAATCACATACTATATTTATATCAGAAAAGTTTGACTGAAAAATGATATAATGGGATCGTTAAAGAATGCTCTGCTGCTTTGTAATAGCCCAGTAGGAGAATTGCAGTGGCAAGAGTTGCCAGAGTACACTCATCTTCCAGATGCTGCCTCACATCTATCCCTCAGGGACTTACGTAAATCCAAACTACACCAGCATCATGAGTCAAGGATTTCACCCACACTAGCAATACAAAAGAGTGACCTCAGCGCAGATCCAAATCTGACACTTCAGCAGTAAGCAAAGCTTAATATTGAGATTGCCTTTGTATGATGGTTGTTAATTTACTAGAGGCTACTAACTAAAAGAAATCTCTTTAAGATGAAGGGGGACGTGTGGGGAAAATAACTCATCCATACACCAGTACTTTTAAGAACGGAAGCTGACAAGCTGTAATTGGGGATTAAAACTGGTGTCCCTAAAGGGCAATAGGAGAGCTATAAAGCCTGGTCTAAAAGGCACCTGGAAAATACAAGCTATGAAACCATGTAATTGTTGGTTTCAGAGTAGCAGCTGTGTTAGTCTGTATCCGCAAAAAGAAAAGGAGTACTTGTGGCACCTTGGAGACTAACCAATTTATTTGAGCATAAGTTTTCGTGAGCTACAGCATCCGATGAAGTGAGCTGTAGCTCACGAAAGCTTATGCTCAAATAAATTGGTTAGTCTCCAAGGTGCCACAAGTCCTCCTTTTCTTTTTGCGAATACAGACTAACACGGCTGCTACTCTGAAACTTGTCCAATGTCACTCAAGAAATCTACTGCACATCTGGAAATTGACCCCAGATCTCTAGGGCTACAAATTAATCTGCCTCCCTCTAACAATTTTTGTTATCCTTTCTTATTTGAAGCATTATTAATTCTCTTCTTTCACAACCCATCCAACTCAAATAAACCATTCTCTTTTCACCCTGCATGCAGCTGAGCAGGAGCCAAGGACAGATCACTTAGCTGAATAACATGCACTGGTACTAAATGAAAAATTAAAACTACAAATTTTTTAGATATCTGATTTCCTGTAAGTGAAATTATTTGTTTAAACTATTATTTCTTTCCTCATTTCATAAAAATCAAATCACCCACAAAAACCTACATAAATAGAGCTTCAACTCTCATCTTGAGAAGTTTAATAAGAAAAAACTCTTCAGGAATTCCATCAGTATTCTGATAAAGAAATAGAAGTCATAATTCACCTTAATAGAAGAAAGTTTCCTTTCTCCAGGGGAAGAATTCATCAAGACTTCTCCTGTAGGTAAGATTTGACACATTTGCTTGTTTCTTCCTCTACTATTTGATCTCAGTACTTTATGACTATTTGATTGTCTGTTACTAAATTTTCAACTGGCAAATTCAATTAAAAACAGAAAGCAACAGTTCCATCCTGCTTACCTGATCAGCAAACGGTTTTGTTTATTACACAAAGGATGATACATGCCCCACTCTTGTGGTGGCGAGTTGGATTATATGAAATATTTCTTCCTTTATTGGAGTTATAAGGCCATCAACTTAACAGGCCAGCACCAGACAGGTGTGACCTTATCCAATTAAAGTAACAGTCCAGGCAATATTGCAAGTGACAGAGAAAATTCCTTAATGTGTAGAGGGCTTCTGTCTACATTACAGATCTTTTTTCTCTACAAAGATGCATGTTTTGTCCTTTTACAGAATGAGGATAAGAAAAGCACTGCAACAAGTATTGTGGAAGGTACAGTCATTGTCTAGCTTTGAAGTTAATAGAAATGGTCATCCTAGTTTTTTTTATTCCATACCTCTGCCCTTATGCATACCTACAATCCGATGGAATATTCCTGCTGTCTTGGATACTCTCAATAGAATTCTTCCTTGGAATTCACTCTTCCAAAGCCCGGGTTTTGGGACACAAACTAACACAGTTGGTGCCACTTATTAACTCTCAGTTGGGAAGTGAAAGTGATGGCAATCCACTAATTGGCTTGTAATTTGTAGGATACAAGTATTACCTGATCATAATTTGAATGAGTTTTTGTAATGCTTAACAGCCACACAAACAAGGGAGAGCTTTCTGTCAGACTTCAACAGTTGTCTAATCTTATATTTTCAAACCTCTCTCTTGAGACAGCAAGCTAAAGCATTTGTCAATTATATGATTATTCAGCCCCAGTTGATAATGGATTAAAATTCTGAAAATGAATGTCTCCAGTGATTGCCCAACATAAAACCCAACGGTGTATGTTATTTAAAGAACTTCAAGGATTTCACATCCATGTTAATTTCTTGTGAATTTAAAAACATACAAATAAGTATCCCTTGAGTACCATTTGCAGGAGCCTTATTTAAAATTTGAATATTTGCATAAAACAGTTTAAACAAGATGAAAACTGTATATTACAGGCTAAACTGCATTAAAAGAAAGGAGCAGCACATTTTGTCAATACGTATTCCCATCTCTGCATTAGAAGAGCCAGCCTGGTTGCTCACAGCATGGTGGGGGTGGGTATGTGCACGCATGCATGTCAGTTTGGGTGTCAACCTTTGTCAGATACTTTATAAGCCAATGTACTCTCTCAACGGCATAGTGTTGGGATGGGGTTATTTTTGTGAATCCAGTTTAAGATTCAAAGTCAGCCAGCTCAAGACTTCACTCCTCCCTCATCCGATTTCAGAGGATCAATAAGTTCAAGATTATGCAGTTTCTAATTTCAGGCCTATACTTGCAAGAGAATTTTCAGAGAAGACTGCAGACTCTATGCCTTATGAATATGAGCACTCCAGTCACAAGCTTAGGTTAAAAAAAGGACAGAATAGTAAGATTGAGGGACAAGTATCACGAAAGTTAAATATAAGACCAATAAAAATAAAGTGAATTCTATTAAATGAATTTTAAGAAATAATTTTAGTAATCCCAATCATGTGAAAGTGAGGGAACAGGATATGCTTTTTTCCATGAATCATGGCAGTGCCTTTCCCATACATAATACAAACACTATGTGGGGTATGAACAAAGGTAGCAGACGTATCTAACCACAAAACAAGGGGCGGGGGGGGGGGGGAGCTACGGCATTCAACAGTACATACATTCTTCTCTTTCATCCAGGAGCACACATCCCTCACCACTGCAACACTCACTGTCAACTTCACTCTTTACCCTATAGAGATGCCAGCTTTCTGGGACCTCCCTTCCCCAAACTTGCAGCCACCATAAACAGATTCAGCTCCCCAACCTACTCTCCATTCAAGGGCAGGGGGCCAGAAAACACACTGAAGGACTTGTGTAGTTTTTTTAAAGTGCATATCAGATACTCTGAGGGGCAGACCTGTTTGATTTCCACCAGGAGTTAAATCAAAGGAAAAACTGTTAAGGAAGAAACCAACAGGAAATGGCAAAGATAAGAGGCATCTTCAAAGGAGTGATAATGGCAGCCATAGATTAAGTAGCAGCTACCTAGCTGGCTCCATTGAGGCTGCTCTTCCCAAGGCGAAGCCTAGAATCAAAGGGGTTCCTAAACCTTGAAAATGGGGGCCTCAGGAAGGAAGATGGGTGAGTTAGTTGTCAGCCAACAGAGGCAGATACCAAAACTGACAGAATATGGCCACAATACCAAGACTATACTAGTATAACTACAGTTCTGTAGCTACACTGGTATAAGTCTATGCTATAGATGCAGTCTACACCTATAGAAGGGGTTGTTCTGTAGGACCACCTCCCTGAGTAACAGCAGCTAGGCTGCCAAGCAGTCTCCCACAGACCTACTTGTGTCTACATTGGATTAGGCTTAGATAGGGAAATGAGAATAGGACTTTTATTAACCCATTTTCCTAAATGCCGGTTCCCTTTGGTAATAAAATACTACTTTGTTCTCCCTTTGAGGTAATACTACAAAGCTCTTTTTGAGTCACTTTAAATGTAGACCCCAAAAGTGAACGGGCTTACTGGTGCCAAATGGAGTTCAGCCTGTCCTATTAATGGGGCTGGGAAAACAAGAGGGCTGCAGCCCAGAGATCCAGTTTAACAATAGGTGGACTGCATAGTTTCTCGGAGAGTGAAGGAAGCCAGGCCTGTTGCAAGAGGGGTGCACTCAGGGAGGGACTGAAAAGGAGTCTCAGGTGCAGTTTACATTGGAACGATGACACAGATGCACACATATTTGAGCCTTCACACTTGAACCATCTTTGATCAGTTAGCTCAAAGACATTGTAAATCTTGGTCTCTCAGCTAACCATAGTGCATAAAAATTCATTTAGGATGACCAACTTTTTTTTGTTTAATTAACAAACCACCCCAGAGAACCCACCTTATGTGCAAATTGTTGGCTTTCAAAGTGTAGTTCTTAAGCCAGAAGAACAATCATGAAGTTCAGAATGTTTTGGGGAGGGGGAAGGGGAAAAGCTACTTTGTAATTAATGGAACTTTGAAATTGGCCAAGTTTTCTTGAAAGTCACTAGAAGATTCAAGGTTTACTGAATTTGTGTGCACATAAAACAGACAGGACACTCTGTACTTTAAATGCAAAACCAAAAGACAATTTCAACTATCGCATCACAATGGCTGTCATAGAATGAGGAAGGCACATTTTTGGAAGAAAAAAAGACAGCATTGTCAGAACTGTTACAGTTTTAATCATTTACATTTCAAGAAACCATTCTTAGTCTCTTAAGGAAAAGGGATGGCTAGAGGGTTAGTTTGCCATCTCATTTTCTCCAGAAAGCATTTGCTACAATACAGGCAAAGAATGCATATCTTGTAATAGGATATTGTTTTTTCAGCCCTTCTGAGTGGGGAGTTATAGAAGGCCTAATTAAAGCTATGGTTTACCAGTAAAGCTGAGAACTATACTTCACAGAACTGAGGATGGCTCAAAAGGAAGGAGAAAGTAATGCATCCATAAACTCCACAAAAAGTTAAAAAAAAGCTATTTTTGTTTTGTTTATAACTGTTTCAATACAAATTTATCATATCAGTGCTATGGCTTCAACACTTTCCTCTCCTAACCCCCTTCCCTCTCCATATTCTGTAAACTATAGTTAAGGTGGTTTAAAATAACCTACCTGACAATTTTTCTAATTTGATATTCTTACACATTTCTACTGGAAAAAAAACACAGCGATACTGCACAAGATGACACTTATTGAAAACCTGACTCCTTCACGAGACTGGGTTGAGATGAATGGCAGCAGAGGCGCTGGAAAGTGCAAATGGTTTGTCACACATACCATGCCTATATAGTCATATAAAGGATTCCATACATAGTGAATCCACACATAATGAATGGCAAAAACAGTCGTTTTGAGTGCCAAAAGATAGTTTGCAATGCTCTGTTCAACCCTAAACAGAAGATAAATTATTCACTGTCATTGGAATATGCTACATAACATGAACATGTTCAAACTGATCAAGATATTATAAAAACAAAAGCTTATATTTTCCCCATTTATTTTAAAAACATTATTCAAAATATTACGTGAAAGTCCAAATATGATAAAAATTACTGCAAGAAAATAGTTCAGGCATATTGTTTATGCTTCACTTTCTTATGGTTATCAAAAGAAAACATGTAACTGTAGGGGTTTACTATTTATGAACTATTTCACCCATAACATATCATGCCATCACAATTCTTCTCATGCTAACATCTGTAAAGTTTTGACCTTTTTCAAAACAGCACATTACCACTTGTATACCAAGTCATTAATTGTGGTTCTTATTCACCATTATTTACATGTTTATCAGCTCTGAAAATTAAATCAAACAGAATGTACAAAAAGAAAAACTATGAAAATTTTACATCTCATGGAAAAAACAAATAGCTGAACTACGTAGGACAAGGTAAAAAACCAAACATACCAGTAACTTGCTGTACACCTAATTCACGTGTAAAATTAATTTTGACAAAATTAAATAAAGGTGCAGTGTTGTCCACAGATTGTGGCAACCCATATGCTTTTAATTTCTACCCCACCTGCCAATTACTTGGGTTTAGGATAATATCAAAATTAATCATACTAACATTCCCAGACTTAACATGTTTGTAGTATACAAGAAACCACATGATTGCATAGCATAATTGCCTTAAAATTCAGGGGAAATTTTTGTTGCACTTGCCTGCTAGGTATATTTTTATTTTATAAATTATACCATGAAGCTTATTTTCAGTTCAATAATCTTAAAATGACAGATGAAGTTTCCATAAGTAGAGTTACAGAGTAAATCTTGGGCAATCAAGAAACAGCAATACTTTCATACAAACTTGGGATATTCCAAAGAAATGTAAGGTATAACTTGAAGTCAAGTCATGCTTGGTACATAATTATACTTTTAATTTTAAAATACTTTACTGCATGAAGCATCTAGAGAAGAATATCAGCATAAAGTTTGTCACATTAGGTAGCCTAACATGAGAAGAGTCTGAGTTTGCCTAGTGCTGCAAAACTTTCATCTAGATATCTTTTGGCTATCTATACATGGAAAAACATTTAACTGTGTAAGATAGCTCATAAATCCAGCTATAGTAATGATTTGCAGAAAGAGACCATTAATTTAATTCAGTGATGGCAGACTCAATTTATCAGATCTAAAATGTTTTATGCCCACATTTTTATATTAGCCCTGTTGGCGCTGCTCTAGACAGAAGGACAGGATGCACAAAAGAAAATGAAATAAAGGAAAAAAACAAGTGAAATAAATTGTTTAAATCTAGTTTCTGTACATGTGATTTGAAATTTGACTGTCGACAAAGAATTTAATGCTAATAATATATGCCCTGTGTCTTACATAAGCTTTAATCTCAAACCCGTCCAGGCAAGAGAGACATCTCATTTCAGTACAAACTTTTTATGGCTGACACTGCACAACATTATAGAAAAAGTCAGGCAAAGAAAATAATTCAGCAAATTGATGCTTTTAAAAAATGTAATCATTGGTTATCTTCAGCGAAGGCATTGCTTCATTAACATTTTGATCTAAACGATGATATTCCACTGTTCTAGAGCAAAGACCATCACGCCACCTTCGGCTCTGGACCAACAAGAAGATCTGGAAGAAATCACAACCAATTTTGATACGGATGAAATGACAATGTTGTGCAAATGTTTCACTTTTGTCAGCTAACGTAACAGCTACATTTGTAATCACACAGCCCCATCCAGAGCTACCAGCATGACTGGTGCTAATCCACTCACTGTTAACCCACCTCTTGTCCACACCAAGACTTCTCCCACAACTTGACTAGCACAGGTACAGCTCCATAATGGCAAAGGCATTAGTATTAACAGCATGCAAGTTTTCAGCACAGTCAGCGTTAGGTAACGTTGGTAAAAACCTTTGTCTGATACACCCTGAAACTTACACTGTTGTTACTGCCAGTCAGAGAATGCTGAAAAGATTCTGTAGTTTCAGCAGTAGAGTATTTTCTGCTGCTACTCTCCAGCAACAAAGGAGCATGCAGTATCAACCCAACCAAAGTCTGCGTACTCTCAGCATCAAGCTGTAGTTATGGGAGTTGTGAAGACAGAAATCTCTGTCTCTGTGCTGACACAAGAGACAACCAAGATAAAATTTTCAACAGCACCTAGCAATTTAGTCTTTGGTCCAAGTCCTATTTCCAAACATGTCATATGCACTTCTAAAAATTTTACCTATACTCAGCAATGCACTTGTTTTTGGTATAATATGGTGTTATAAGTTAGCCATGTTAGTTTCAGACCCAATAAAACATAAGACCAAATAAAGTTAGCTAAAGGGATAAAGAAAAAAAGAACAGGGAAAGAGAAACATATTTAAACTTCTTGGAGCATTAAATTAAGAAAATGCACACACGTTTGAAATAAACTGTGGGCTGTCACATCATAGCTGTAGATTCTGAAATAAGATAACACTGATAAGACTGCAGAAAAATATTTCAATGATGATCTGATTTCATCATCAGATAGCTACAGTCAGAGATATGTTAGAACTGCGAACAAAAGTAACCCAACATGCTAATTATCCAGCTGTGATAGGGCAAGGGTTAAATCCTAGGCATACCTACAGTTCAAAAATGGTCTCAAATTGTAAGCATTATCACCATCTCAGGAACATTCTCACTTTACTGAAGATTAAATTTTCCTTAAATTGAGGTTTATAATCCTGTGCAGACCCAAAATTAGTTCATCAATCTCCTTGCCCTTGATCTTATTTCTAGAAACCATATATCATCATAGCATATTACTGAACTGATTGATTCTCGATGTTATCATTTAATTGATTTTCCCAACCTAAAATGCTGCTAGTTCTAAATTAGCTTTCTTTTTTGTACAGATATTAATGATCTGCACATTAAGATCACAAAACAGAATACTGTTTGTAAGTGTACTTAGACCATTAGCACAACTAAGTAGTTTTTATTTAAAACATTTTTCAAGGTTTCAAAGCAAAAATTACTTTGAAATATTAAAGTGGAATTTTTCATCTCGCTTTCATAGTATACCTACCTTTCTCTTATTATGATATGTGATATAAACAACAGCTACTAAGAAAGCAATAATAACCAGGTGGAAAAAGAAATGGGTGTCTTCTTCCAATCCTGAGACGGAGTCCTTTATCTTGGCATCAAGAGATTTTGTGTGCTCATAACTTCCAAAGCTATCAGTCTCCTCATCTTCTGGCAAATCTAGAAGGTCTGTATTATATCTGGAATTGGACGTCATCTCATAATGGCCATAGTCATCACGCCCATCAGGCTCCATAGTTTCTTTTGCTGCTGGGGGTGAACTATTCAGTATGTCTTTGAAGTCTGTTAGGAGACCCTCTTCCTCAATTTTAGTATCTTCAGAAGCATCCACATCCATTTGTGAAATGGGACTAACAGATGTGGCATGAGTTGCAACAGATGTGGCTGCGTCATCCTTCACGGTAGTTGGTCTAAGTGTGACAATATTATCGACTTTAAGAGTTGAGGACATTTCTTTTTTTGTTGTAGTTATCAAATTGTTCAGACTGGCTGTTGAACTCTGAGATGTACTGAACACTTCACTGTCATTTTTAATAGCATCTGCAGTATCTGGGCGAAAGGAGAAAAGACATTTTTCTAGGTTTGTTTTTGTTCTTTAGATTTGTGTACAAACATACTCACTAAGTCTCTTGACTTATTTTACAAGGAAGTCATACCTCAATGAATTAGGCCCATTTTGGAGTGCAATGGTTTTAAAACCAGAATATACAGTTCTGCCAGTTCACAACAGAGAAAAATGGAACAGGGATCATAAAGTATGCTACACTAGTATGTTAAACTGTTTAGTGACTTGAAATATAGGTTTTGGTTACTATTCAGTTTTACAACAGTAAAAGATCTCACTGTGGAGTTGACAAGTCTTGCAGTGTATAAACCCCAAGATTTAAACAGATATTACTCTAAAAACGTCAGACCCCTGTAAATAAAGTTCATTCTATTTTCAAATACCATATTCACACCTTTTCTGAAGAACTTCTTCTAGTATATTTATAAGTGGACGGAGTTGATTAGGGCAACAATACGACAGGCACATAAAATTTTCCCAATCTGCCATAGCATCACACAACCATTAGCAAAGAGGTAGATGCATTTACAAATTCACTCTGGACTGGTATTTAGAATAGAAGATCTCTATATTAAATTTTAATAGTCTCAAATATTTACTTCCAAAGAACCAAAAAACAAGTCTATCAACCTCAGAAACCACTTTTCATCTTTAAGTGAAAAATGGATTTCATTTCAATAACTCATTTTAAAAGACCCACATGAATCAAGAGAAACCAGGAACTTGAAAGCTTAGCCTGACACTTCACCTGCAGATCAAACTGTTCCCTTTCCACTTTGCCCACCCGTGAAAGTTACTCAACTATCAGCACTAAACTTTGATTGTCCTTATTTTCAGTCTGTGTCATGATATTGAAAGGTGATATGCAAAGCAATGAAGTGCGTTGTATTCTTATGGTGTCAATGTTGGGTTTAAAAAACAACCCTACACAAACATCAGAGTTTGAGACTTGCCCCACCTTCCTAGAAGATAGTAGTAATCTTTGGAGAACCTGGGATAGGTTTCATCCTCAAGCTTTGATGTCCTAAGGTGCACTTGGCATCCCATTCCTACTCATCTAGGGGCCAGGAAAGCTTCAACTGAGGTTTCAGCCTGCACCTGTAGTGTTATTTTCCTGCTCCTCAAGATTGCAAAACTCCTCACTCCTCAGGGGATAGCTTCAAGAGATTCTTAGGAGGAGAGAATTTGCATTCCACTCACATCCAGGTACTTCCTAGGAAATCCACTTCATATGCATTGTTCCAAAAAGCCCTCTGAAATTCCTAATAACTTCCAGAGTAATCTTGTCTTCCTGCTATAGCGTTCCATACAATCTCACAGTAGAACATAAAAATTTTAATTTTTAATACAATTAACTCCAAAAGATATTAAACTAATTCAATAAGGTTTAATTTAATTCAATAAAATTAATTCAGGATATTGCACAAAATGGTCAGTATGTCACACCGTCTTCCACCAGAAGTATATAACTTAGCACAATTCAAGAAGAACACTAACTTACCTCATTTCTCTATGGAGTATCTGCTTAAACCCAGAACACTATCTGGAAGTTCAGCAAACAAATGATGAAAAAGACTACACTTACAGAAGAAATGAAGAATTAATCTATTAATAAATGTAATTTACAGCCAAAGAATCACAATTCACCTCAAAATTATGGCTTTTATAGGGCCCCCACTTCTTCAATGTTTTCCACTGAAAAAGGAAAATTTGTTTTCATCTGAGAATTTCCTTTCTTGAATTCCTCATGTCACACGATCACAAAAGTGGGTTTTTCCACTCTCTTGTAAGTGATCAGGGGGAAAACCGACCCCTTGTTCTGGCTAGGACATGTGACTGCATCTTCTGCACCTTTCCCAGAAGGATCTCAAGAAAGCGTGAAGTGGTAGCAAAAACATGCAGATACCTACAATGATACATGTGGATACAAATGTGGAGGTATACCTCTTTCAGTCCTTTTGATGAGGAAATCCCAACAGAATAAGGCAGGTATCAGAATCATGGAAGAGACCTCTTCCCCAAAAAAAAAAAAAAAAGTAATTTTGTTTTTGTTGAGGGAACCAAAGTTCCATATGAAACTGGGTAAGGAAAAGTTACTACTTTAAGAATTAAAATACTGTCAAAGCTCCGTAACAAGTAGAGGTCCATAACCTACCATTTGCAACAGAGGCAGAGAAATCTGGGAAAGACTCAGAAGGGGCTGTCCTGTTCCCTGGGCAGGACAAAAGTCTGGCCTGCCTCAATCATCCAAAAGAGAAGGGAAACCCACTATTAATTAAGACTGTGAGAAAGAAAGGGAGCAAGAAATTATTTTCACCACTTGCAAGTAGATCTGAAGTTACGTATAAGCAGCACAAGCACTGAAGGACACTGTCAAAGCTTACAAGGTCTAAAACGATCAAGAACCCAAATTGAAAAGATCCGAGCACTGATTTTTTTCCAGAGTCTGACCCATTTAACAAAATAATCAGCACTCCAATAATTATATAAATAAAGTCAGATAATATCCATATTCCAGCTAAACATTCTAAATGGGCACAGGGTTTGTGTGATGTGCACACTATGGCTTCACCCTGCAAACGTGCTCAACTGCCAAGACAATGAAATTAGTTTAGGGGAAAATGTTGCTTTGCCTGCTTTATGACTGGTGGTAAAAAGGGTCTCTTTACTCATCAAACTATGAATTCACTAACAATGTTACAGGGCAGAGGTCACATGACCATACATAAGCACACAGAAAACTAATAGAGAAGTTCTATTTTAAGATGTGATTAAGACATTTTTCTTCATTTTCACTTCCAGCAGTTTTACTGTTCAATATTTTTGTGTGTTTGCAACTGAAATGTTTAGCAGGTTTACAACACAGTACTAAAAACCACATACCAAGCTATTTAACAAAGTAGCAGATTTCACTGCATTTATTCGTAGTACATTTTTCTTCGTTAATGATTACGCTGTTCAAGGCATGGCACATGAAATAAGGTTGACTGACTTACAATTATACTTTTTACTCCATGTTAAAATGTCAAAGTGCCTTTCTTGAAAGCTGCAATATAAAACTGCTCTGAGTTTTAGAGAAAACTGAAAAATTCTGTGAAAAGACTTCCTTGGCACGTGACAATAACTTTCGGGAGCTACAGCAGAAAATTTAGCACAGATTTTTAGCGTGTCAGCAAAACTTCACTATACACTAGATTTTAAACCAAGTACAACTGATAAAATTTCTCTATGTATTTCACATGAAAACTAATCAGTCTGACAATATCAGCAGTAGACTTTACTTTTTAAAAGTCTTCATGTCTACTGCAGAAATCTTAAAATACTCCAATTCACCTGCATTACAATAATCTTGCAGTATCATTATGTCCAGGATCACAATTTTGTAACAAGTGTATAGATTACATTTTAAAAAAAACTTAAAGTGGAACATAGGAACTGCAAGATTGGATCAGAGCCAAGATTGAGTCCAGTATTCTGTGTCATAGTAGTCAATACCAAAGGCTTCAGAGGAAGGCATAAGAACTCTGCAGATGCAGGTATCATAAACCTGGCCCCCACATTTGGTCTCAAATTGATCTCTAATAGTTAGAGATTGTAAGCCTTTGTGTTTCAGGGCATAAGCCAAAGTCCTAAGAATATTTATATTACGGTTTGGAAGACTTATTGTTTAGAATAAACTAAGTTGGCAGAGTCACTACATTCTGTTTGGGGAAAAAAAAAACTTAATACATTTCAAGCCAGAACCTTTAATTCAAAGTGATTTTGGGTGGGATTTTTCAGTAAAAAAAATAATAGAGTGACCTAGAAGCACAAGTCTCAGTGAAAGTCAACGGAACTCATACTCCTGAGTGAATTTTTTTGATGAATATTAAATTCACTGAAAAATGCATTTTTCAGAGCACTGAAACTATTTGTGATTTTAGGTAGAATTCAGCAGATTCTGAAATGCAGAACCATTTCATTTTGACAATTTTAAAACAAAACATTTTGAAGTTTCATCCTGAAATGAAGTTCTCTTGAAATTTATCTAAACAAAAAAAAAAAGGGGGGGGGTGAAACACCAAAAAAGTTTCAGGTTAACTAAACAGTTGCTTTGACTCTACACAAAACAGGGGAAGGGGGCAAGTTCAGATTTGGTTTGAAACCAACCAAAATTATGGAATTTTTCCGTCCTCCCCCCCACCCCCCCGGGTTTAAATATGTCTACACTTGGGCTTTTGGTCACATGGTTACATTGGTTAAGGGTGCAATTTTTTTTCACTCTTAACTGACATTGCTATGCCAGCAAACTTTCAAGAATAAACCAGCTTTAGGTATTTCTAAAAATCCCATACCACACAAGATGTGTTTTACCCAATGATTTTAAAAGTCAACATGAGCATTTGTTCATTCTTTTACCATATCACCATTCAACAATTTCCACATTATCCCGTAAGTTTAAATTCTTCCGTTGCTGTTATCTTAGACTACTACAGTGGACTAACATAAATCCTATAATATTAGGATGTTATGTAATCATTATCCATGTTAGCTTGAATAAAACTAAATTTTTCAGAAGACTGCAATGCCATCAAGTTGTTCTTAAAGAACCTAATTGGGACTCAAAACAATTTTAATACAAGTGTTTTACCCCAACTAGACAAAGGTGGAATTTTAGTGGCACAACTCATATTAAACACAACAACAAATAAACACAACAAATAAATACTCCGCACCGTGCTTGAACATTCATTCCAGAGGAGAATTGGAAGTACAAAAAAAAAGAATGATATTGCAAAACAGTCCATCCATGAGAACAAAGCTAATGACAAGACCTATGCAGGACTGGGACAATTTTGCAAAGTGCTGCATAAAAGCAGGATAAATATGAAAACAACATGAAGTCCTGGATTGAGATGCATCTGTTTACAGAAAATCAGATTTCCCTCTGTAAGGAGGGGGAAAAAAAAAGCTCATAATGGCCAATAGGTCTAAGTGTGCAAAA